CCACAAATTATTTTGTAGTCGAATTCCAGGGTAGGTACATGCTCTAGTATTTCTGCGATAACCGTATCAGTCGTTTTAGGGCCGCTGGGGGCTCTGTATATACATCCCACTAGAATTTTATTTTCATTTGTGTTGATGCTTATCCACTTAGATTCTGGGAGTTTGTCGATAGTTAGGTTTGTAAAAGTATTGGGGTCAGTAGATTTAGAAGCATATATTAGACACCCGCCTCCTCTTTTGTCCACTCTATCCTTCCTGTGGATGTCATAGTTATCAATTATCAGCTTTGTGTCAGGTATATCATTAGTTAGCCAAGTTTCAGTTACCAGGATCAGTGTTGGCCGTCTCATGTATACCAAGCTGCGAAGGGAAGTTATTTTGTTAAGGAGAGATCGAGCATTTAAGAGCATAATTTTTAGAAAACCAGTTTTTTGGGAGGGTAATTAGTGGGTTTTCTTGTTATTATCCCTAACTCCTGGTTGCCTATGTTATGTTCGGAGGGATTCTCAGATGAGACATTGACAGCGTGTCTACTATTCCCTGAACAAACTGTGCTGCAAGAGGGGCTATTGTTTGCTGCAACCGAAAATAATCCTGTTGCATATATTGGTTTCTGGCCTCATTACGTGGGTATCTGGAATCATTCCTTGACATTAGATAATCTGTTTCACTATTCAGATTGTTATTTACAGGGCCGAAATAACCTGTTTCTAGATTGTTTTGAGGGTAGTGCGTGCCAAGTCTTTCGCAGTTGTACATTTGTGGACTCATTTCGTGCATGCACATAGAAGGACCGTGATTCAATCTATACCCGTTATGCTGATGGGGCTTTACGTAGCTACTACGAGGGTTCGAGTATGCATTTCCATCCATATGGTACCTAGTGGTGTCCCGTCTAGTAGCCCATGTGTTTTGATTATTTATTCTGGGTCCCGTTCTCAGGTTATATGAGCCCATAGGCATATTACAACCTCGGCTATTACGGAAGTCGTGGGTCTGACCCTGTTGTTTAGTCAGCTCGGCTCCTCTTGCGTGTCTGCTAGAGTGTGATTTTGTGTGGATAGAGCTATTTTTGCTGTTAGTTTTGACCTCGTATAGTCTGTCATCCACAGTTTGTCTACCACCCTTAGTTCGACGAAGAGCACTTCCACCCTCGTGTTCCGTCTCCTTTATGGGACCTGCCGTAATGCGTGCATAGCTCTCTTTTAGGCTTACGTGCTGCTTGTCTGTATCTACCTGACTTCAACATATAAGCTGCACCGGCATCTAACAAGTCAGTAAGGGCTTCGCTTTGGAAACTTATTAAGCTCTTAGGTGAGTGATTAGCCACACATGAACCCCCTGGTATCTGCATTCCATCAGGTATAAAAAGTAGGGACTCACTACTTTCTCCTGAAACGCGACGGTTAGTCCTGCCCGCTAGCTGTCGTGATTGTCTCGCGCTGTGAGCAGACCTAGAAGACAATCGTGGTCTGCACTGCTGATATGAGACGGCTTTCATGATATGCTTACAAGACGGCACTGATTCTCAGGGTGGTGACACCGTACACGACCATTACGCTTCAGTTCTGTCCGTACTAATTTTTAGAAGCGACTCTCTCACCTTCGAAATCTGTAGCGATATAGAACTGTTTTCGATGACCTCCCCTCTCATCTCTTCTAGGAGCAGTCTCTGTTCAAAAGGGTGTACAGTAGGCACATCAGGACAAGATATGTAGGCGAGCGATATTATTTTCAAATGAGATATTCAGGCTCCACCCCAAATTACATGGATTTATAAAAACTTCTCAAACGATGACGATGAGTTTGTGGATAAACTAATATCCATTTTATTAAATATTTCGAATATAATGATAGGAATAAAAATAAGTTAGGGTTATTGTTGTCATGACAATTCGGAAATGTGACGAGTAATCAAAACTGTAACTAGAGAGAGATGAAGCTTTACAAGAGGGTACTGATGATGTACTGCCAAAAAACGTGCTTACTAACACCTGAAAAAAGTTGAATAAGCGTGATACAGTTACGTAACAAGATGGAAAGTTTGTTGAGTGAGTTCTGATTAGGATGGACATAAATGCAAAGGAGAATATGGCACTACGTAAGAGTTATAAAATTTGTAATTATTGGTTTTGTAGCGATTTTGTTTGACTGGTTGGAGGATTTCATCATGAGCTGGAATCAGTTAGGGAACCACTGGAAAACCTAGGAGTACTGGACAACTGTTCCGTCCAAGTTTGCGATTCTTCACACTACGCACCCGCCGGGATTCAAATCCAGTACCTCCTGGTTGCAAGGCGAACTCGTGGACCATTGAACCACTGGCCCATGAATTTAAACTTCTGCTATTTCATGACATAGCGCGACCACTTCGCACTCAAATACCATGTCAGCAGAAGTGAGCATGGTTGTTACCATGGCAGAAGAAATGGTTGGATGATTTTCTTTGGTGTACATAACTCTGTGTATCCAAATGAATGGCCAAGGCTTTTGTAACACGAAGGACAAAATAGCGTATTCCATTGGTAGGCTGTTCTAGGTTGTGCTACTAGTTCAATTACAGGCATTCCTGGTCATAAACTATCTCTTACTGATACCGCTAACATTGTTTCGAAATCAGAAAGTGGCAGTTTTATGAATATTCCCTTTCTTGTTGGTGAATATGGTCCATCCTTACTGGGACTAAAGGCCCATAGATTGTTGAATCTCCAAATATCACTTCGCACTGAGTTGTTTGATGAATTTATGCTCAGAGAATAAGTTTTCCAATGTTCAAAGTGTGTAGGTGACATGAAAATTCAGTCCACGCATTTTGAAATAGAGGGTGATCCTGTGTTTCTAAAGCGCCGATTGATTCCATACGGTTTGCGAGATGCAGTTAAGAAAGAGTTGAACAATTTAGTTGAGCAGGCCATACTGATGCCAGTTGAATCTTCGAATCGGGCAACTCCTATTGTGAAGCCACTAAAGGCGGATGGGAAAACACCGAGAATTTGTGGTGACTACCACCTGACACTCAAAAGTCGCTTACTGCAGCAAACCTGCACTACGCCAGAAACTGAGGACATTCTATACAAGCTACTTGGTTCAAAATATTTTTCTCCCTAATAGATCTCAAAGATGCTTATTTGCAGATTTCACTTGGCGAAGCTTCTAGTGCACTGACAACAATTAATACTCGATTTGGATTGTGAGTCAATGTAGACCAATCCTGTACCATCATCTTACATTTGACGGGAGCGAATCGCATGCCAAACATTCGAAGACTGCTGCTCCTCAAGATGTTCACAAGACTCGCCATCTTCTTAGCGTCTTCACCTAGAAGGACTATATCATCTGCATATTCTAGGTTGACGAGATTATTCTCTGGTAACAAATCAGTCCCTGAGTCGCTGAAGTTGTCAGTGAGGGTTAAGTTCATTAGTACATCTATGATGAAATTGAATAGAAATGAGGATAGTGGACATTCCCGTCGGACACCACTAGTTGTCAACACTTCAGATGACAACTCGCTGTAAGCTCTCACCTGGCTGACTGCATGAGTTCGAGTAGAGGGCTCTGATCAGTGCAATGTATTTTCTCGGCATTCCCATCACAGCCAAACATCATCAGAGTACATATCCGTCGGCAGAATCGAATGACGCCTTTAGATCAAGAAATACAACGATTGTTGGACGCCGGTAAGTATGCCTATGTTCCGTTCCAGAATCTGTCGAAGGGTGAAGGTATAATCAATACACCCTCTTCCTGGTCTAAAGCCTGCCTGCTTCTCTCATGTTTGTTCCTCCCGAGCACCACTTAGTCTACGCATGATTATTCAGCCTAGAACTTTAGATACCATATTAGTCAAGCTAATCCCCCTGTGATTATCACAGGAACACTTTTCTCCCTTCTTGTATATTGGGATAATCAACGACTTACACCACTCACACTGGACTACCTCTCATTCCCAGACGCTGTCTACTACCTTAGTTAACGTAAACAGTACACTGTCTCCACCGTACTTAAGTACTCCTTGTGATCTAGAGGATGATCCCGAAGTTACTTCGTTATTAAAGAAGAATTAGAAATTCCTTATACACCGATACGTTAGTTGTTTCATATCGCTAATGGGAATATCAGTGCACAGTTTCTTTTTTAAAATCTATTCGCAGATATATTCGACGGCTTCCACGAAAGGTACATTAGGGAATAAAGATGAAACATTAAGTTATGCCATATATTTGTCAGCTGCGTGCAAGTGTTTATCGTATCAGATAACTAAAAGGTATCCTTCACTACCTGATCATGCCAGGATTAAAATAACTGTGCCTTTTATAACCTAGAACTGATTTTTCAATTTTTATTCGCCACATTATATGAATACATCATGACTATCACCAGCGTCGTCTCTAATCTCACATTATATTGTAATCGAATTCAGCCTAGCTCGTTTGTCACACAAACACAATTCATTATGTCACTCTATAAGTAATCTGTTATTCTGCAATTATTAGTGTTCTCTGAGCTGGTTGGTTTAGTTGCAGTGCTTTCGTCGTCCTTCTGGACAACATCTTCAGTGCAATATTTAGCATAAAGTGAAATGATTTAAATTTCGTCATGAGTGATATAATTACGTCTCCTGGTAACCATCTCTACATATGTATTGACCACTTTCTATTGACTTAGATTTTAAACTTTCTGGTCACCTGATTTGCTTTTTATTAGTTGGTATATTTCGTCTATATTAATGTGCTTGTTAATTGCATTTTCGTTTGAGTTCCAGGCTTCTAAGAATTCCCTGGCACTTTTGGTGTTTCTTCTGTCTAAGATTTTGACATTATCCCAATCAAATTGATGACCATAATTGTCTATTTGCATTGATACTAAAGAATACATATCGTGTCTTTTCACGGCTGATTTGTGTTCTTGGATTCTAATTCGAAGGGGACGCCGACTTTGGCCGATGTAATGCTTGTTATAGTTCATACAATTCATTTTGTAAATGGTATTAATTTTATCCCCTTTTTCTGTTAGATCTTTCGGTTTGCATAATATCGGATTAAGCGATTTGACTGGCTTGTATTATTCTGTTATTCTACTTAAAGATGTATCCGCGGCATAACTGGCCATTATTGTGACGATAATAAAAAGTATATTTCATAATTGTAAGGACCTGAAGAGTATTTATTGAAAAGAATATTCGCCGTTCAGATTGAATTTTTATTCATACCATGGGAATATTTCACACTTTTAAGCTTAGGCAGACTAATAAAGAAGAATTTAACTCCACTTACAGAGTCTGAATAAGGTACGTATACAAACTTTGTGGTGGCTAGTAAGTTAATTTCTTAGGTTTCACAAGAAATACTGAAAAGTACTAGCAAGATGCTAAAACAAGCCTTAGACTGATGTAATGGAAAAGTAAATGGGAAAATCAATTATAAATCGGTAGACGCTTCATTCAAAATGTGTCAGTGTTTCAAAAAATAATTATCTCTAACTCACACCCACTTCTAATGCAGCTAAAATATTTAAACTGTGCATACATTTTTTCCCTCACATTTTGTTTAAAAGAGTAAGCTCAAGAAAGTTTTTTGTCTTTATCAGTCAACCTGAAGTAAGAGATTTAAGTGGGACACCATCACGTTGTTTATCAGGTTTTTGCGGTTTCCAGTAAGAAGCTTTTAAGTCTGCAGGTAACATGACAGATTCTCCATCACGTGAACTAATTATAATATCAGCGGCTCTTTCGGCCATCATAATCACCGGTGCATTCAGATTTCCTGAAATAATTGATGGCATTATACTTGCATCAACAATACGTAGATTTTCAACCCCCCATACTTTACAATCTGACTGCGTAACTGCTGCATCTATTCTACCATTACCGATGTAACCATTCTCCAATTTGTCATCAGTGTTGGCCTTACGACCATCTGGATTTTTACCCATACGACAGGTGCAAGATGGATGGTAAGCGCTATCAGCAAGCGAACGGGCAAATCTGTCCAGTTGTGAATCAGTCCGCATATCTTCACCAGGTGCCAACTCTTCTCCTCCAAATTCATTCGCAAGTGCAGGTTGGGCAAAAATTTCACGAGACAAACGAATTGCCGCTCTCATTTCAGCTCGATCTGTTTCACATGCCAAATAGTTTGGATTTATTAGTGGAACATCTTTCGGATTAGGAGAAGACAATAGAATCTGACCGCAACTACGAGACCGCATAGGACCCACGTGAACCTGTGATGGAAAATATAAAGAGGAAGTTCATATGACAGAGTTTATTTTTCAGCTAGATCGCAGACTGACATAAATTAGATAGCATTTAGCCTAGAAGCCATTACCAATCAAATGTAAGCCATCTATACAGTCTTGAGGGTCTGACATCGGAATTGTAATGCTAGTGAAGAGGGATATAGCAACATTAAGGTAATTCACTCAGACAACCAGCAACACAACTATGCTGCTTATTCGCTCTGTAGCTGGTCGCCTAAAGAAGGTTGACTACTACTTCAAAAGTATCTTTACCCATGTCAACAGAACTTGCTGCTGAACGAAAAGTTCTGTACCTAATAAATCCTTCAAAATCGTTGATTTCTGTCCATAACTTCATAAATGACTCGGTACGAACAAGAGTGGATTGATTTCAATATTCATCTAAAGATGCTGTGACGTGACAATTAGATTTTAGTATCGGTTAAGTGAGTTCCATCCATTGTCTTCACTTGGCTGGAATAAAAGAGCGAATGCAAATGTCTGGCGCTCATCACAGGACTGGTGAACTTGTAAGGTTTATCTGGGGGAGATAGAAAACCCTGATTCCAAACCTAACACACACATGTCCAGGAGTCGAAGTCAGTTGCAAACAGTTAGCAGTTCTTTATTTCATCCGCCAAAATGAATATATGTGATAAACATTTCTCTTTGAATCATCTTTCTATGTGTATTTACCGCTTTCATTTTTCGATCCAAGTAATTCTCTTTATTTTATTTTATTCTATTAGCGGACAATATTACTCATAAGGTGAGTGTATTCATGTTTACTCTGATTCACAAAGACGGAAATTTAATATACACAGTAAATAATATTTCTTAGCTTAAACATGGGTAAAGTTGACTGAGGGATTCTCTGGATCACAGCTTTAGTTATCAAACTGAAAATGGTTAAACTCATAGGCATTCTTTCTACTTTTTTGGAATATTCAGCTGTTCAGCTTCAGATACACAGAAAGATATGAGATGAAAATTAACTATAATACTGGAAAGAATTCAGTGCAGTTATGATGTTTACTCGACATGCCTTTATTTATATGTAACGTTATGAGATGTGATGGTGAAAGTGGGATACCATATGAAAATTAGTTCTAAATCGTCGCTGACGCTTCGCAAAATGAGCTGAATACAGTGATTGTTGTAGTTTTAGGGAATGTTTGAAGAATTAAAAATAATAAAATTTAAGGCCTTGATCTGATTCTTTATAGGTTATAATTAAAGTCTCCAGTCTGTATTACAGTTTTTGTTGATCCTGACTTTTATAAAAATCAAGGTATAGAAATTTCCTCTTCGATATGAATATCACCCAGTGTATACTTGCTCTCTTTAATTCGGAGACCACCTTATTACACATAGACGTCGCAACGCTGAGTTGTTTCATACAGTTATTGCCTTGTCAACGTAGAGCTTTGTTGCAAAAGTGTAGCAGTCCAAGTTGCTTCACTTCATAAGCAGACAATTTAGAGGAAGAAAAGGCAAAGGAACTACCATAAACGGAAGTGTATGCGGGGAAGGATAACATCAAAGAGGACATTAAGAATTTTATGGGAAATCGTAAAGAGTGGAGGCATCTGCGCCATTAAGAACACTTCGGAGCTATGTCACTAACATTCTCAAGTCACTGATTATTAGCGTCTCTGGGACTACAACCAGGCACTGCACACTCCCTAAGTGGCTCAAACCAAGGGTCAACCACTGCATGGATTGATGACATGTTTTGATTTGAAAACATCAAAGTCTTATCCAACTTAAGTCTATGGCAACTGAAGATTCTCGTCATCCGAAAACGCCTTGTATTGCTCCAAGAGTTGTTTTAATCATCCTCAGCCTATTCAAGATACGGAGTATTCTCAGTTGCAAATATTCAGGAACTGATGATAGTTATACTTACTTATAGTGTGATACTTATATAAACATATAGTGGCACTTATATAGTGATACTTATAGTGTCTGTGTAATACTGTTTCATAATTATTAGCTGCGATGAATTCGGTTGATCTTACAGCCTTTTAGCTATCACAACCATTAAGGCTACAGCTGACTATCTACTCCTAATGCCAACCAGTCCCTCCCATAGAATTTACGCTGTATTGAGCTACATGAATGAATGACTTCCTATCTCTAGTAATGGAGCTAATCTTCCACACTAACACAAGTCTAAAGTTCAATTTTGCAATGCAACTCCCAAGTAAAAAACAGAATTCATTGTTTCTGCATTCAGAAAACTGGTTAAAAGTCAGTTAACACAAAAGCAGGAACTGCCGTGCATCACCGTCAGCCAACAAAGTTGACAGTTTTAGTCAATATGCAAACAGTGAAGATAAATATAAAAAATATTAAAATCATATGAATTGGTTAAAATAAACAAAAATTATGCTTCTAACTTGGAATGCATGCTGATTACCCATTTTACGTCCGTGATCGTGGACTGTAGAAGGTAAGAAATGAAACTGAATATTAGGATGAGGAACACTGGCGCTGGTTCGCACAAAACCGCCACTTTCCAAATGTGTACTAGCACCCCAACCTCGGCCAAATAATATCCAATTTAACCCAATGCCAATCATGATATGTGGATATTTCCATTGGGCTTTATAAAGGGTAATCGGCTGTGTTTGAAAATATTAGGGAGAAAAAAAAGAATTTAATTTGCATGGTTTTCAAGGGATTCGTTTCGAAAACACCCATGGATATGACTATAAATTAGTTAAAATAATCCCAGCGTGTTTCAGAAAAAATCAAAACAAGATTTTCTCAACGTTTCACTGTGTAAGCCACAGCTTCTTTAGCAGAATTATAGGAAGAGGTCTTCATTCACGCTAAGAAAAATTGACTTCTGAAGCCTTGCGTATTTTAATCAAATCGAACTCAGTAAATAGGAGAGGAGGGATAGACTTATCACCTTGTGGAAGACTCTAATGAAGAAAAACAGCTGAGGAAGAAAAACAAATTCAGTCCTATATTATGACCATGCAATAAAATATTATTATGTTTTGACGTGTTTTCCACATAACAAACAACAGGCACACACTCATACAGAAAAATACGCACATATGACAATTTGACATTAATGATTATAAATATATGATGACTGTTTACACTTTTCTATTGGTACAAATGTCTACGGACAAGTAACCTTTAAAGGAATTGATTTTAGTTTATGTAATTTTTGACTATATATTTTTATGGTTAATAAAATACGAATAATTCTTCTGAAGAAGCTGTGGCTTACACGGCGAAACGTTCAGAAGAATCATGTATTGATTTTTTTTTCCCAAACAGGCTTAGATTATTTTAAACAGTTTATAATGATTCAATCTGACTCGGTGCTAAGATTATTCCAGGAAACTCGTAACATCTGTGGTTTGGAAATTTATAATCTGTACATTGACTCACCAACATTGACTAAAAGATTTTAGCAAAATACAAATTTATAGATATTTTATAGATTTTGCGGACTTTTATTTTCCTATCCGTAATTCATTGTTAAAGACATTGGTTGGGGTCACGCTAAATCACGAATTGGTAGAAGTTAGAATTCATGAGCCATTGAATCGGGTCCCAGTGGCTGAATGATATATGAGCTTGCCTTGTAACCGGAAGGTCTCGGGTTCGAACCCCGCGTTGTGGGTGCGTACTACCGATGATTCCCAAACTAGGATGAAAGAGCAGCTGTCCAGTACTCCTTGGTTTTCAATGGTTCACTAACTGATATCAATCCTTGATCAACTCGTAAAAAGGAATAGAAGTTTGCAGACTTGTGCCATCAGGTAAAACCAGAAGCCAATATAGAAAACTATATGCTCGCACCAGCAAGTACAAAAACTCAACCATACCCTACTTAGCTCGTGTTCTGTGTGATAAAGAAAGCATTAGGCGTGACACCTATAATTCTTTAAATAGTCAGTAGTAAAACTGGATCTCGTCTTTCCAACCCACATCATCAATATGTACAACATTTTCTTTCTTTTCCTTTTCTCTCTCTTCTTTTTCCGTTATGTGCTGCTTTGTCTCTTTCTCTCGCTTACGCCTGTTAATAAGACAGCTCCCACTTTTCTAACACCTTCAAACACTGTTTCAGCTTTACCTTTGCTACTGACATGCCAATGTATTGTTGTAATAATGAACTGTGGTTTCCTCAATCTATGTAGAATTCTATTTATTGATAATTTACTAACTGGATGCAATACTGTAGTAAAAATGCTGAGAATTCCATTCTGTATCACAAGTACTGTTTTGGAATAAAGCAAATTATTATTATTATTAAAAATGTACCTGAAGGGTGAACAGCGTATTTTTCTAAAATTTGCTGACACTGCGATTCATTGTGATCTCGAGAATAACTGTTAGGGGGGAGTAATCGTCAAGATGTCTTGAATTTAGATTTCCTGCCTGTTTAGAACTTCCCTCCGAGACTTGTCTGAGACTTTCAGAATACCGATATCCCTTCCACTATTCTTATCCTTGAAGTATCAATCGAAGTCAGATATTTAGCAATCAGGTAATGAACGGCAACAACAGAAACAAATATTTTTTGATTATAGCTTGACTCCACTTCGAACTTTTAGTACAAGTATGGAATTTTCAGCATGTGATATTGGTAGCCCAGTTTTGCAGGCCAACCATTGATATCGGGTGTGCGTCGGCAGGGATAGAACTCCGCATCATGTGCATGGTTGGTGAGAGTCCTAAGGTCTGTGCCACCGACGCACATTTTCAATCTAGTGAGTCAGTTGCGTGAGATTATATAAGGTATCAACTTCAATTTACCAAGTTAAAGGAAATATTTATCGGATTCTAATGTTGGTGAAAACAGTTCTGTCAAAACAAAGCCTAGGAGCAAACAGAAATAAATTTAACTAGGAAAAGAAAGAAACCTAGGCCTCTTGGTAATATCTGGCCCCCAAAATCTTGACGTGAGACCTTGAGTCGGAACAAATGTCCTATTATTACAAAGTCGAGGGCATAGATATGAAAAAGTTTAGAGTTTCAGCCGACTTGATTTTATTGACGCTATCCATAAAAAATGATTCTATCCACATCAATTAATACTCAGAATGTATATAATCTTAGCGGAGGAATATTTGATACCTTCTTACAGGCTTGTTGCACGTATAATTCCAAATGATCTTGTAAATTTTGTCCAACGCCTGGTAAATTATGCCAAGCATCAACTCCAACAGACCGCAGATAGTCCACATCACCAATTCCTGAGAGCATAAGCAGTTGTGGAGAGTTTATAGCTCCTCCTGATAAAATAACTTCAGATTCAGCCCTAGCCTGCAGAAGAAATAAGAAATGCAAGATTGCGGTATATTTTTACTTCAAAACATTACACAGTTTAACTCAGTTTGAATAAACATGACATTTCAAACATAGTCAATATGGTATGCTGATCAAGAACACTCAATTGTATAAACTCAGTCAAAGAATAGCTATCTCATACTTTATTAACTTGCTCATAAAGTGATGAATATAACCAACGAAATGTGAACAGATTTTATACTAAAACAGTGTAGGATTTCCAATTGTTTCAAAGAAGGGAGCAATTAAAATGATCAAAAATGAATTCAGTAAACAAAAATATGTACATATATATCTTACAGGAAGCCCAGCTGACGTTATAATAAACTACACCAAAATAGTGCTACTTATGGTATTCTGAGTAAAAAGTACTTCAATGACTGTATCACGATTGAGTTCTGGATAATTCAGAGATGTAAACTGAAGCATATTTTCAGCTCAGAACCGCCTTTGGATTCTCATTTCCTCCTTGCCCTTCTATATGATTTTCTAGGTTAGATTATCTGAACGAAAGTCTCAGATTAGCTGAACTAATAACGGCGAACAATACGATAGCATTGTTAACCATTCTATGGATAGAAATGATGCTCACGTTTGCACGTGCTATTTTTAAATTTTTATCAGACTCTATAAAAAAAATATGGGATTTCTACCTCCTTATTTCTGCAAATTAGTACTCACGGAAAGCTACAAAAACTGGAACACAATTCATTGTTTATAAAGGTATTCTCACCTCATAAAATTCACCATTTTTATAATACTTAACACCAACCGCTTTGTTATTTTCAAACAGTATTCGTGTAACCAAAGCGTTTGTTTCAACTGTTAGTTTAGAACTGGACTTCAGTGCTGGATGCAAATAAGCTGCTGATGCTGAACACCTCACACCGTTTTTAACTGTCATTTCAAAGTGCCCAATACCCTCCTAATACAAATAAATTTAAGTGATTTTTTGTTAAAAGTGAAGTTTTAGAGACAGTAATGTAAAGTGAAAACTTGCAAAAGACGTGTTAACGGTAGACCTGTGTTATAAAAACAAATTATGCCTCTAATTAGTACGTTGTGCGTCGGTAGCACAGCCGTTAGGACGCTCGCCGACCGTGCACATGGTCCGGGGTTCGATCCTCGACCGACGCACTCCTTTCCCTCGCTAAGCCAGTAATAAGACTGGTAAAGAGGAAAGGTTGGGCATGAGGCTAGCAACCCCATCCCCTAAAAATAAACACCACAGCTACAGAAATTTCAACCTTCTAGCTTGAAGCCCTATGTTCCATTGGGAACGTGAAGGAAAAAAAATTAGTACAGTTATTATAGAAGACTTTAAGAAACTAACAGTAGACAGTGTAGTCAAAAGCTTTCAGGGATGAAAGCATGTACAATCCTCATTCAACATCCAGGAGACATATTTAACAGTAGTTTTCTGCTATTTTTGGAATTTTTACCAACTAGGATCGTTTTCTACTCATACGTGATGCACAAATTTTTCGAACAAAAATATTTCTTGTTGACATCTATTTTGAAAAAAAAATCACTATTTATAAGTGGATCTAAAATGAAATCAAAAGTCAAACAGTTACGACAAACTCAAATCTAAAATGTGGAAATAAACGATTGTACAATGTTAAGAATAAAATTAGCCTTCAATCATTCATATGGACTGTTCGAAGGGAATGACTGAAGTTCAGTGTACTAAACAAAGGTTTTTCACTCCTCACATAATGTGCATTTATTGCGTTTTATGACCAATCAGATAAAACCTAGAAATAAGCAACAATTCTAACCGACTGATTGCTCATGAAACCACAGAAGAGCTGGGCATGTCTCATTTGGTATTTTCCGAATCGGCCCATCACTTGGACAAGCCTAATAGCATGTTACTCATCAAATGGGCTTCTGCATTACACATCGGTTGATTCCGATCCACTATGATGCGGTAAGATATGACGTCAGAAAGTAGGCATGCATATTTGCCTTCATTGAGTCAATCGTGTTAGGTTCTGCAATACGTTAAGATACAAGCTCACAGAGAATAGAAATGTAGTCTCACCTGTAATGGTTAAAACTCATTAGTTGACTATCTGTGTTTTGAATTAATCGTGGTTAATGACTAATTGTATGTTAAATAGTCAATCTTAAAATTAGCTGAGCTTTATTTTCATATATAAATGACAATTTACTAACTATATCAAAAAGAGATGTTGGAAATTCGTACCTGTTGTCACAGATGTAGCTACTTGTTGTCACCTTAAAGATTTCAGTCAGTCATGATGTAAATATTCTCTTCAACACAGTCCAATGTAATATCAGTCTGTTTCCCTATTTTTCCCTCTTCTGTGAATTATAATATCTTAAACTGATGCACTTCTGGCTTAATACCTCAGTGATTCAGCACAATGAACAAAGTTTATAAACAAAGAATAATATCTATGCATTATTTGATTCCTGACATATCTTCAGTACTCAAATAAATTCCATGATTGTCAAAATTGTTTGTTTCAGGTATTATTGACATGAGTCAAAATAGGTCTAATCACAATTAAAATGTGATAAGGATTAACTTATCATTTTCATGAAAATCAATTTAACGTAGTACGAAAATGTCAAATTTAATTATAATATCATAAACAAAAACACTGGACAACATGTGGATTCGCACTTTTTGCTCATGAAATTTTTCAGTCATCTTTTAAAACAAATATGTTCTTTCAGTAGTCCTCATTTTACTACGAAAACTCCATATTATCTTATCTATTCTTATTACTTCAGGAAAATAATTTCATTGATTGGTTGGAGGATTTCATCATGAGCTGATATCAGTTAGAGAACCATTGAAAAAACTTAAAGAGTACTGGGCAGCCGTTTCGTCCTAGTTTGGGACTCTTCACAGTACGCAGAAATCCCTACAAAACCAATACTTGAAAACTTCATTAACTATCTGGAATGAATCTGGAAGAGGCCTGTATGAGTGGATAAATTTTCCAATACGGTCAAATTCAATAATTCAAGGGTTTAGGTGTTCATAAGAGCAGTCTTAACAAAATCTTCATTTCTGAAAAGAGTAAGTGCCATGGTGCGCTTTGAATTATGTTGAAGTGTTGGTGGCAGCGACACATAGGATTTCGTCAGCACTAGGAACTAGGTGCTATAACAGGGACCAGTATATAATATATATATATATATATCTTACTTGTTGATAACCATTTACATCATCAGTAAATGGATATCCAGCCTGCTGACCGGCTTCAATCCAAGCAGCATGTAAGGGGTGATTAGTTTTGCCTCTGCTTACATACAATGGACCATCACCACCACGATATTGATTAGGACCATATTCATGTGTTTGGGCTTTCCGAAAATATGGCAAGCAATTCGCATAACTCCAACCTTAGTAAACAAAATATCAGCGGATAAAAATGCATTAACTCTATTTCTTTAACTATAAACGGTTTGAAACATATTTAAACTACTATTAAGATGAAAAATAAATGAAATACACCTGGTAAGATAAAAATCATGGAAAATCGCCAGATTCCTTATGAGACCCTTTAATGGTACACTTAAGGAAAGAAACGTATTTACGGGTACTGACTGGATAAATGTTTGGTGCTCATAACCATGAGTGTCAATATTATTACTAAGCTGTGGTTGATTAATAATATGTTTAAATCAATAAATTCATTTCTGTAGTTATAAATAGGATGACAGTAATTATGCGGACTGATGCATTTGAAGTAATCTTGAACTGAAATAGTCAGTTTAAATTATGAGTTAAAATATGTGAAGCTGTCAAAATAACCTCCAGTTCATCACAGTTAGGTTACTGAATAAACGAAGTAATTCGAGAGAAAACTGTTGTATTTCTTAGCTAAACATCTCATAGTGCGAAGACTGATTAATTCTAAATAGACAAGCACGAGATCCTCCACTTACTTTGATTCTAGAGACATATGAACCGAACATTTTGCAAATATATCGCCAAAAATCCCAAACCTCTGTTTCATCAGGTGTTGCGTAGTGGGCTTAATGGCTAATAAACCTATGGATTATTCACCATATAGTTGAAACATAAAATCATATTGTGAAGTAAAGCGAATCCGGCAGATTGGCTTGCGTGTACTAGTTTACAACAAAATAAACTGTCTTTTCCGAAGAATTCAAAACCATTTCCTCGCCAGATAAACAACAGAAATTTGAAGATGAACTCAGTCAATGTTTTGATGGTGTGGCTCAGCGGCTATAGAAGCTGACATTTATCTAATAGCTTTAAGGTTGGAGTATCGCTGCGCCTACTACAGCCTGGGCGACTAGATAATACAATCAGCCCTCATACAGTAAGTATGTTTCATAGCCTGGTGAGTGAAAAATCTGTTGTTATTACCTGAAATCTAACTAACCTCATAAATGTTTGACTAAACAGATTGTTCGAAGAAACATTTTTCGGAGCGTCACATTACGGATCGCCTGTAGATTTGTGTCCTAATGTTTTTAAGAGAGAAGACTTCTAGCCATTACAAAAGGCTAAATTTCTGTGTCAGAAACAGACTGACAACTAAATATATGATCAATATTTTCTAAATATGTAAGACTGATTAATGCAAGCGTAACACTCAAGAATTACGGTGGCATGCAATTCCCAAACAATTCTTTTATTGAATACACCACACAGTGAAACATTGTCACTTACTGGATCCAGTGATCATATAATTTTTATGCAGAAACTAATCCTGCATAATTCTGGTGATTTTGTGCTATAGATCAAACTAAAAGCAAATTAAACTCATTCAGTTTAAAGAACCTAAAAGAATTTCCTAAGCATTATGCTTCATGAGTTACGTTCAGATAATCATGAAGCAAAGTCTCATTTGAAACTATCAGAACACTTATGTTATTTGAGTAACCATAAATCATATGTAGTCCATCTCAATAATTCAAAACTTTACAGCCAAAATAAACAGATATCTACTAGTATCTGCCAAGACCAGAAGGTCGTCAAGTTTCATGACTACCTCTACTTTATCAAACAATCAAGCACAACATATTTCAGTATTGTATGAATTGATACTGAGTTATATCCCCCTATGGGTGTATGTTAACATTAAATGAAAATCATAGCACCTTTGCTAGAAATTAAAGGAGGGTTTGTATAAACCATGTTTACTAATATTTTGCTTGATTTTGGTTAGTTTTTGGATGCGCTAATTTTAGACAAATGACAAATAAATGCACCCTTCTTAAATGAATCGGTCGGTAATAGTAAATGATTAGATGAATGAGAGACAGTCGGTGGTAATGCTGAACTCGAAATGATATGTTCATTTGTGTGCTTCTCCTTCTTATTCGATTAGAAACGACATCAAAGGACGAATGTAAATAATTAAGGCTGTGAACACAACCTGTTAAATGCTGCTCAAAAGAAACGACTGTAAAGTAAGTAATTAAAAATCACTATGCATATATGTATATCGATAGAATCTAGTGCGTAAATATAATTAGTCAAAGAAAAAAGAAACATTTTGAGTGAATAAGCAGATTTAAATTACCATCTGCGCCTTCTGACTCCCACCTGTCGTAATCTAGTGCATGACCACGGATGTACACCATAGCATTCAGAGAAGAGCTTCCCCCAAGTACACGGCCACGAGGCCAGTACATAGTACGATTGTGCATGTGTTCTTGTGGAATAGTATGATAGTACCAATTGTACCTGAATATAAAATCATATAGGATGTCAGTAGTTTTTCAACTCATTTAAGCGTTTAAAAATAGTCCATTAATTTTGGACAGTTTTTGCAATACTTTTTAATACCTGTATACTGGTTTACGAAAACTCTTTTAAATATCTTCACCACATAAAACTTTATTTGCAGGCCTTAAATCTGCATACTAGGATTTTTAAATTAAATTGAAATCATTCCGGATATCTATATCCCCCGTTCGTCGTCGGATTCATCAGTCGTGTGCCCACTGACTGTTTTAGCTGGCTAGTAATATACAGTGTCACTCTGAGACCACACACCACCGTTTCTCCGGAAATCCAAAAATCATGTAATCAGGAAATGGTGTATATGACATCTGACATAATGCAACAGGGAACGAAAAATTTGTAACAATCTCACAACATGTACAGTCTGTTTTAGTCTGCCAAGTGTGAGCAGCTAGCATCCTTATTGTAACTTCTCTGCCAACGGTTAGAATCTTTGTTATTATACTTTACTGACTGAAAACAAAAGAGGAGGGTAGTTTTCTTGATATAATTTATACTTACACCTAGACTGGGAAGGAGTAGGGTAGATCTACATTGAGGTATGTCTTATCATGTATCATCCTTATCTAATCCTACTAGTACCATTATTTATTCAAATATTCAGCTGTTATTGTTTGATACTGAAAATGAAACTAAGAATGATATGGTTTACACAGTTCAAACACCAGGTGAAATAAGTTGCCAATATGATCTGACAAGGTGTGTCGGTGGTACAGCAGTAGAATGCTCACCATCCACTCATGGGATTCGCGGTTCAATCCTCGACCGATGCACTCCTTTCCCTCGCTAAGTCAGTAATAAGACTGGTAAAGAGGAAAGGTTGGGCATGAGGCTAGCAATCCCATCCCGTAAAATTAAACACCGCTGCTACAGAAACTTCAAGCCTGTAGCTTGAAACCCTATGTTCCACTGGGAACGCAAAGGGATAAAAACCTTTTTAAACGATCTAACAATGAATTATCTTTAATAGTGGAAATCTTGTGATACAGTCATACACAAAATCAAGTTTCAGACTGCCGTTAATTGATGCTAACGAGCGCTTTTTTTTCCTAAAATAGTTATTTGAAAATATATTACATTCCTAAACGAAGACGAATGCACGCTACTGAAACCGACATCGATTGATGACTTGACTCTGGTAATCTTAATGATGACATAATTATAAGCGTAGATTCTGAAGTACTCCCGCTAGGTTTGTACACAATGCTAACAAAAAACCAATATAAATGAGGATACAGACCATCAACGTTCCTAAGAAAGGTTTCCACATGAGCAATATGTGTTATCTCCCGTTTCAGGTTGCAGGAAATGTTTAGTCGACGAAACTGTTAAACGAAAATATATTGAAAGGTAAGGGCAGCAAAATATTCTAGAACGATTTTCCGTTAAACGTAATGATAAACTTCAGGTGTTTTATGGAGCAACATTTACTTTAGTGCTATTCATTTTTTTTGTTCAGGACTTTTTACCTCAACCGTTTCCTCTATATTACAAAGTTTTGAAAAAAAATGTAGTTTAAGGTTCTTTTTGAGGTAATTTACATGCAAAAACTTAATTTCACAAATAAAACGGCGCACTTTTTCACACTTCACTTTTGAACACTGCATTATATAAAAATCAATGCAGTTTATAATGTGCTGCGTGTAGTCTATGTGTCATTCACCCCTTAAATATTACCGAACGTTTTGCCTATTCGAATTCAACACCCACAGACTGAAGGGCAAAACTACAAAAGACGTGTTCACTGCAGCTATCAGAGATAGATACCTCAAATCAGTGTAGCAGATAACCAGGTCACTATCCACAAAGAGACCCATTGAAATGAAACTAATGAAAGACAGTGAAGAGAAGTTACCTGCTGAAGAGGAGGAACAGAAGAAACGCTGGCTTGGTGATTTCAAAGGACTCCTAAATCGTCTATCACTTGTAACTCATTCAGAAATACCACCCGCAGACATATAACTACCATCGAACGACAATCCCTCAATGAAAGCAGAAACCTTGAAGGCCATAAAATTACTGACGGCTGAAGAAGCATCTGGATCGGACGGAATTCCCCAGAAGCGCTCAAAGCAAATCCAGAGATTTCAGCAGATATGCTTATGACACTATTGAAGAAGTGTGATTTACAATGGAAAGCTCAGTGAAGACTTCAAAATGAAGACAGGAGTAAGGAAAACCTGTAGACTACCACTGGTGATATTCATGATTGCGCTGGGCTAGTTAATCCAACAGATCGTGGTAACCGAAGGACAAGTACACGTTAAACTGACGAAAAACGCACTGATAATCTGAACTACGACTTGTGTCAGATGAACTCGAAGATCCTCAGGTGAGAACATACAAGGGCCATCAAGAAGACATGGCAAAGATGGGACTTCTAGTGAAGAGTGAGAAGACAGGGTTGATGGAGACAGCCGACCAACCAACAAACAAAAATAGGAGACAACCACTATCAATGGTAGAAATATGGAGGAAATCGTCAACTCCTTCACTTATCTAGGCAGCAACGTTTCAACTCCAGGCAGTTGGCATCAATAAGGATGTCAATACCAAGATTGGAGGGGCAAGGCAGACATTCATCACTCTGAAGTCAGTGTGGAAATCTGATGCACTCAGCACAAAGAGCGAAACTCTGATTCTCAGCACCAATATTAAGTGAATTCTCCTGTGTGGGTCAGAGACTTGACGTGTCACGGGAAGCATTTCAAACAGGTTGCTGCAGACTTTCATAAACAGCTGCCTTCACCCGATTCTGAATGTCAGATGGGCAGGAAAATAAGCGACAAGGAAGGAGCTCTGGATACAAATGAAATGAAAATGAACGTGACACGTGCTAAGGGGACCGCTGAGAGACATCTTTCAGGAGACGCCCAAGTAGAAACCGATTGGGAAATGATGAGTTTGGTGTCTGTGGTTGACATAGAGGAGATCTTGGGAGGATGAGATATTAGCTTGTGAGCAATCGTGTAGTCAGCTGAAGGGGACGGTAGAGAAGGGAAAAAATGGAAATGTGCTGTAGAAGTCATATACTTTGCTTGCACTTCAATGGAATTCAGTTATTTTTGGACTGAAAAATGAAGGCATTACCTCCTGCTTATGATATCGCTATGTCATGTTATTAAAAAGTGGCAACCTTCAATATAAAAAGGCGTCAGAAATCTTGCTTACTTGTCATGGTATAAATTGTACATAAGTGCTGCTGGCATTCTTATTGTCCATCTGGAAAATCCAAGATCAGTTGGACCTGCTTCTAAAAGGAGTACTTTACTAGAGTTTTTCGTCTTAGGATGAGGCAGACTCAATCGATTGGCTAAAACACAGCCAGCAGATCCAGCCCCAATTATAATGTATTCATATGAAGTTTTTGAATTTTTAGTCTGTTCTTGAGACCTATTTTGTTTAGCTATGCTAGACGTTGTAATGAAACGTTTGGTAATAAAATTTATTGAATGGCGATTTATCATCCTTGTGCGTTTTAAAACGTGACTTTGTTTCCACTGGAATAATTCTTGGCGTAATCGATTAGCGGTCTAAAGAAAAAAATAATAAAACATCGATACTGAAATGGTCTGTTACTCATAAAAAGTTTCCATTTGTTCAAATTTCTGTAGTGTGTTTTGTTATTATTAAATGCTTTCAACAGAATTTTACCATCATAACATCAATTCAGGAAATTATATACCGATAGAAATGCAGGATATTTGTGCGTAAAACAGTCTAATTAGTATCACTAAGTGCCAACTGCCTGTGACATTTAGTCCAAAGTTTACTTGAAAAGACAATTTCTGAATGCTGATTTACGTAAAACACAAAGATGAAAGCACAAAATTTATTGATTTATATTAAAATTAATAATGATCTCTAGGCAACAGCATAATCAAAAATATGATGTACTCGTTCGGACGATACATGCTGAACAGTTGCTGAGATTGCAAGTCCTCAGTGGTGTATTCATTCTGTGAAATATAAACCGTGCAGCTATCATCCTCTTAGGACTGCATAATATATCACGATAACAGACAGTGTAGTTATGATAATAACAACAACTAATGACGCCTTATACGGGAATACAAATATGATTCAGCAAAACAAAAGTTACTGAAACATGAATTACCACTGCGTACCCCTCAGAACGAGCAATAAAATGAAAAAAGAACAAACTAACCATCAGAATTATTACAAAGATTCAATATGGAAAGATGCTATTACGCACCATATACTAGATATCAGGTTCTACATTTTAAATGAGAGTAAGCAGTAAAGAAATATTCTTTCTAATAACATGGAAGATTTAAATTACATTAAATCAATAGTAAAGACAGATTACATTCCAAAAAACATTGGTAAGAGATAACCTGCAATAATATAACACTAAAGTGATTGAATACCAGATAAATCAATGAATAGAAGTAACACAGAATTCATGGAAATAGTCGTGAATGGACCTGACTCATCGTACTAGGAACTCGCGTTGTTTTAAGCCAGTTGCAGTGACCTTTACTGTTCGGAGTGTTTGATATCTAGTGGCCTTTGTTAGTTTATTCGATAGGCGCTAGATGATAAAAGAAAATTGTTCAATGCTATCTTTGCGGCCAGTCTGCACGAGGTGATGCACTAATAGAACTTTTTGATACTTTTAACTGTACCTTTATTCAGTCACACTGGTAGGTGTTCTGGAGCACGAAAAATTAAGTTCTTAGAGCGACAGCCAGTATAACTGGCTCTACAAGCGCAGTTGAGTCGATAAATACAACTATTGGTGGCTAGATCAGGTAATTAATCTTCCAGTTTTGAAATCACAACCGGCTGTGTGAAAAATGTAAGCTGCAGTCTACCGGCGATAAATGTTCTAAGGATCGATTTTCTTAGCTTGTCAGCAATTATTTCACTTAGTACATCACCTATGAAATACATTCATATATACAGAAACTCATTGTTAACAGATACAAAATTCTTTTTCTTTCTTGAGCGTGCGTTTCATGATGAACATTCCACGTTAGCTGTCGTATACAGCTTTAAGTTCTTCTTTAATCGCATCTTCTGAACAAATAGCTCTAACCCTATAGCTAAGAGTCTTTGCCATATTTCTTTTATACCGAAGAGGAACAAAGCTGTGAAAATGTGTATATTAACGGGTACTTTTCTTATACAAATTCATTCGTATGCTACCATCTAGTCTTCTTGTCAGTAGGACTTCTGAAAAGTCAGTTTTACTTTCGAATTCTTCTTCACACGTGAATTTGATAGCTTAATGTACTTCATTGAATAGAGGTATTGTTACTTACGTTTTCAAATAATTTTCTGATAAGATTAATTTAAATATCATTTTCTGCTTTACTTCGAAGTCAGTCAGGTAACATGGAACACTGACCCCAATGCCACCACATCCTTTCTTTCTTCTTTTATTCCTTTGCGTTCCCAGTGGAACATAGGGTTTCAAGCTAGTGGCTTGAAGTTTCTGTAGCAATGTTTATTTTACAGGATGGGGTTGCTAGCCTCATGTCCAACCTTTCCTCTTTACCAGTCTTATTAATGGCTTAGTGAGGGAAAGGAGTGCGTCGGCTGGGGATCGAACCCCGGACCATGTACATGGTCGGCGAGCGTCCAAACCGCTATAGCACCGACGCACCCTACGTGGAAATTTAGCACAGTTTTATCTCCAATGTAGACATTTTTTAAATTCTGTCATGCAATTCAAACACATCTTTCACACTCTCATTAGCTGTTCCTTAGTTTTTCTGACATGTGGTCTTCTGTTTTACTGGTTGTTATTTTCCCTTACATATGCTTTTGAACCGTAATCTATCGATATTTTTGATTAAATATAATTTTAAAGATTAATATTACTACTAACAGTGTTACAAGAGAGGGCAAGATACAAAAGTCAAGGTATATTTTCATTGATAAAACCGCTGTTTAGATACATGCAGTTTATATTCGTTAACCAATCACTGAGCGTGTGATTTCGACTTGCATCAAACGACATGAAATCGAATGTTCAAATATACATAGTATTGTGTTGCTAATGCATTATATAAGTGTGGGAAAAGTATTCTGTCTCTAACGTCAAAAGAATGTTCAAATAGATATATTGTATGCAGTAGTGAACTGTGGGAATATGTTAGAATAAAATTCCGTTGGCACATATTGTCTGTATCACACCACCACAACAGTAATTCAATTCTTCAACTATTATGCTTATATAAATTCAAAAATTCATGGAGTATTTGTCAAAAAGTATAGTTTCTGCTCAGTAATGATTCTTTTAAATTTTCAATGGGCATCTTTAATGAATTATATCAAGAATCTTTGAATATGGTCAAAATAGCCATGTCACTTGAACTTTTAATTATAAAATAACCAGTTGTGTCATGAATTGTAGGCATGATGACTGACTGGGGAATAAAAGTTTGCATAGCTTGAATTAATGCTTTATGGTGCATGAGCAAAGCTGTACTTTAGAAGCAATTCAGGATATAGACAATATGTGCCAACGGAATAGCATTCTCACATATTCGCACAGATAAATACGGTATTAGTAATAGAATACTACATTTCTATATTTGGACATTCGATTTGATGTCGTTTATTGTAAGGCAAAATCAAACGCTCAGTGACCGGTTAACGGATATAAACTATATATATATAAACAGCTGTTTGATTAATGAAAAATATACCTTGGCTTCCGTGTCTTGCCTTCTGTTGTTACATATGTACTACGTGAGGTAGTTTACCTCTCACATTTTATATAGGCACATATTATTTACGAAATCGATAGGCATGAAGTAACCGGCATCATTTCGGTTATGACAGCGTAAAAGAACAACTTATTTAAAGTCAAAATAATCTTACAGCAGTTCACTTTCATCAAACTTGGAAAATAGTCACCTGACAGGGAAGCAGTACTAAGTGCACATTTAATTTATATTTTCTCTGTTGGAATTGTTTAAAGTACTCCAGCAGTTCCATTAGGTTGGTGTCTTATGTATGCCATGCGCAAAGTGCATGTGACAGAGATATGTATCCTGTACATACAGTCATGTGAATCAAATACATTGGTCAATAATAATAAAAATAATAAATAATAATAAAGCCAAGCAACTGCTGGGTGAAAGTATACAATAAGAACTTGCAGACTGAAGGTAAACAACATGTTGCTAGGCTATTCAAATACATTTGAATAAATGTATCCAAATGCTAGTTAACTCATAGTGCAATGTCTTCGAATAACTTAGCCACATGTCAACCGTACCTGCATTGCCCTGTAGATAATCAGAAAATATGAAACTCGAAAATCAAAGGGTTGAAGTTATGAAGAGAGATCCCTTCTCTAACTCGCGTGTTCTTAAAAAACTGAAGATGTTAACTATAGTGAATATTTAACTAAATAAATACCTAAGATTGTAGTAAACAATTAAAAAATGAGCAATAGTTTGTGCTCGAAACGTCATCAGTTAATATTACTGTATAACACTGTGTGATTTATCAAAATAAAATCTTATCTATAATGCAGTTATACTCTACAAAACTGCCCAAGTTTTATACTTATATCAATAATATTAGCTAAATATTTCAAAAATTCATCTTTTTAATAAAATGCTTACAGTTGTTCTTGGCAGGAAAAATTTTAACACCATCTCAGCACCACTTAATACTTCTAATTTAAGTCAAAACAGTCTACCTCACAGACCAACACTGAGCAATTATGAACATACATACGCCAAGCTAACAGGATTAAATATTGCTCATAAAACCAATATGCTTTCTGAAATGTTTTCAACAAACGTTTTGTAACTGTGTATCTATAGCATATTCCTATTTACTGGACAGTGTATTGAAAGACGACTGACCTTGCGTTAAGTTTTTCACACCATTCAGATTGTAGTGACCCATTTTATTACTCATAATCGTACTATACTTTCATTGTGTAATTGTACTTTGATTTGTTTATTACTCTTAATCTTGCATGTTAACAATTGATACCTTTTGTGCTCGCTCGATTTTTGAATTTTGATTGCTGCAATAATACACTATCATATTCCTTCGCAAGTGCCTTTTGAATTACGTTGTGGACGTCGAGTAATCACAACGTTAGCACACAATTATAAACGCGAGGAAGTACTAAGATATACGTGTATGCTAGTTTAGTCAAAATATAGCATCACAACAAGATCAATGTGAATACGTGTTAATAAAATTGCCATCTTTTTCAGTTATAACAAGCCTTGATAACTTCTAGTGTGATAGCGTGGTTTGAAACGGATAAGACTAGCGGAATAACATCTGATACAGACGGTACAGTACTCACTTCAAACTTCATTTGATGTGAGTTTGACCCATCGGAGATTTTGTCACTGTCATTGGTGAAAATCAATGCACCAAACTGCTTCTAAATCACTGTGTTTGCCAATTCTACTCAGAATAGTAATACATAGACCTAGTTTAGCATTCTCAAAACAAAAGATGACTGTTGTGATTAGCAAATTTAAATGCTACTTAATAAGTATGAAAACGTAGTAGTTTTTGGAAA